CAGAGATCTAAATGTTAAACAGAAACAGTAAATCTACTGGAAGGTAAAATAGGTAGAACTCTTGTAGTTAATTTTCAAATCAGTGATGGTGAGTCTTCTGTGTTATTTTCATGATTGCTTTGGATATTCTGGATCTCTTGCATTTTCATGTGACTTTTAGGACCAGTTTGTTAGTTTTGTAATAAAAATAGCTGGCCCTTTTGATAGAGGTCGTATTGAGTCTGTAGAACACTTGGGTAGTGTTGCCGTTAACAGCATTGTCTTCTCCATAAACACAGAATACCTTTCCATCAATTTAAGTCTTCTTTAATGTCTTTCCGTGTTATCTGTTTTCAGTGTACAAATACTGAACTTCTTTTGTTAGGTTTATCCTATTTTTTATTGTTTTGATGTTGTTGTAAATGTACTTTCTCTTTTACATGAACCCAAAGTATTGTATATGCAAGAAAAGTTCTGTACCACTAAGGTACCTCCCCAGCTTCTTTTGTTTTGTTATCTTTTCTGTTCTTTTCTTTTCTTACCTATCTTTCTGTCCTGACAATCTCGCTAAGTTGCTCAGGCAGGCCTTGAACCTACAATCCTTTTGTCTCACTCCACTGACTACTGAGATTACAAGTGTGAGCCATGACTTTTGGCTCACTTTCTTAACTGACTTCCCAGCTTTTTTTTTTTTTTTTTTTTTTTTGCAATTGTATGGAAACACAATATGTGTATTTTTAAATTTCTAATATCCCCAAACCTTGCTCAACTCATTTGTTCTAATAGTTTTTTGGGGAAGGGTACTGGAAATCAAACTCGGGACCTTGCACTTGCCAGATAAGTGCTTTGCTGCCGAGCTATATATCTAGTGCTCTTAATAGTTTTTTTTATGAGTTCCTACCAACTTTTCTCATTATACTTTTTAAAATACAGTATCATACAGTTTGTGAACAGAAATAGTTTCACTTCTTGCTCTCAAAGCTGAATACCTTTTATTTTCTTGCCAAATTTTCCTGGCTAGAGCCCCAATGCAGTGTTGTATAGAAGTAACAAAAGTGGACATATTTCTGATCTTAGGGAAAACGCATTCAGGTTTTCACCATTACATATCATGCTGACTGGAGATTTTTCATAAATGCTTATTATCAGACTGAGAAGGTTTCCTTCCATTCCTAGTCTGTTGAGTATTTTTGTCATGGAGAGATGTTGAGTGTTATCATATGTTTGCTTTTGTGTTTGCTGAGAAGAGATGATTATATTGTTTTTATTTTGTATTTGTGTATCTATTTTGCTCTGTGGGAGTCAATTACATCTTGTTTTACATTTTTTATTTGATCTTTTAAACTGTTATATGGGAGAGGGGAGATATAAAATCTTTTGTATCTATTTCAGGGTGAGGAACAGATATTAAATCTATTTCTCAATTCTTTAAATCGCAGCATAACAGATAAAATCACCATAGCTTCCAAGCTGAAGAGACTGCCCAGTGTTCTTAGTTTATTTAATTTATGGAATTTGTCTTGACAAGTTCACATTTCAGTTAGAAAAAACTGTCATCAAATTCAGCACCCAATATAATGCTGTCTCCCTGACTGGCCCCCAGCAAACACTGATTTGAACTGAAGAGTCTTCTCTTCCTAAAATTCTGTGGTACTCACTGAATCACAAACAAAGAGGTCTTTCAGCATCTACCTCCCTGTCCTCTGATCCAGGTACTCCCCTCTTGAAGACTGGTTTTCCCAAGGGGGCTTGCCAAATCATAGCTCTTACTGACTCAAGTGTTAAGAGGGGAAATCGGATTTAAATTCAGTGGTGTGGCTTTGTTCTTTTAAGAGAATTAGCTGGGCATGGTGGTACATTCCTGTAATATCAGCACTCAGGAGGCTGAGGCAGGAGGATCATTGTGAGTTTGAGATCAGCCTGTGTTACAAAGTGCCTGAACTGCATAGCGAGACCCTATCTCAAAAAAGACTAATATAAAATAAAATAATGAAAATAAAATTTGTCTCCTTAAGATGGAAAATTTGAAAGTAGAGTTAAATAGTAGAAAGAAGGAGAATAGAACCACCCATAATTCTACCAAATGGATATTAATCTGTGTTGGTCATTGATTATGGAGTTTTCCCCTTACATATTTTCTTTGTGACTTTGAGATCAGGCTGTATATATGATTTTATGAACTGCTTTTGTTCTCCTTTTAACTTTATAAGATAAACATATTTATTAGTACAATAAATTTTAGGTAAATATTAGATTTAATGACAATATGTAGTAAAATTTCCTTAACCATTACTCTTTTTATTTTAAAGAGAATAAAGCAAAACAAAACAACAGAACAAAACAGCAAAATAAAGCAATGCATATAACACCAGGGTTTTAGAAAAAGATAGAAGGAAATCAACAATGGCTACCATGATGTCTCTTGTTTTCTTTGAAATAGTTGTCCATACCTTCACACACAATAAGTCAATACAAATCAGAATAGTATAAAAGCAATCAAAACAAAAGAATGAGAGCCTTAAGAGCTTTGAAGACCAGACACTAGGAAATTAATAATGGCTACTATAATGTCTCTTGTTTTCTTTAAAATAGCTGTCCATATCTTCATACATATTGCGATCAAATGATTGAAAAGACTCAAACCAATCAAAACCAAGAATAAATGCATTATTAGCTTTTGAATCAAAATGATAGAAAATCATCAATGGCTACCGTGGTATCTCGTGTAACCATTACTCTTTTGATGGGCATGCAAATGGTTTGTAATTTTTGCTTTCAAAAAAATTCTGTTATTAACATCTTTTTCTAGGACTGAGGCTAAAACATAATCTGTGTCAGTATTTGTATTAAAAACTATACTATGTGGACTAGGAATCAGGGGACCCGTAGTGATTCTTGTTGTTAGCTTAAAATGTGTATGCCTTAGTCTGTCATCCGTGAAGCTAACCAGACAAATCCCCTCACAAAACAGCATTACCACAGAAATCGACCATAATGAAAATATTTCTAAGCCTGGGATAATGACACGTATTAACAGTGAGCTATTGATTTCTTTAGAAGGAATCCGGTGCTGTGAATGCCTCACTACAATGAAGGCCTTCTTCCCCAGCCTGGTACACTTTGGGAGCCGTAGCACAAACTGCCTCTTGATTCCCACAGCCATGACCAGTAGGAGCAATGAGAACTGTAACTTCTGACCTCAGGCATCGGAGGTTTTCTTTGGAAATACAAAAAAATGACATTTGTTCAAGCTAGATAAGTCTTTCTTTGCATTTTCAAATTCAAAACAATAGAAGCAGAAATCATTATGAGAACTTTTTTTTTTTTTTTTTTTTTTCATTTCGTTTTGAGACAGAGCCTCGCTGTGCAGTTCAGGCTGGTCTTGAGCTCACTTTGTCATCCAGGCTGGTCTCAAACTCGGAACAACCCTTCTGCCTTAGCCATTCACTTGGAATTACAGGCATGCACCACCACACTTGGCTACCAAAAAATTTCTAATCTGAGGAAAAAATGTAATCCTCTTTGTTCATTCACCCTGGTGGGCACTGCTTTGACTTTACTGATGGCCACTATGTCCCCAGCTGTCATCACAGAGCCAGCTCAGAGCATTAGCCTAATCTTGTGCCTCCTCACTAATACAGGAAGAGCTGGTCCAGGCCAATAGGGAGCTGAGAGCCTACTGACGGAGGAGATGATGTCCAGAAGGAGACCCAGGTTCCTGGGATGGCCATTTTGTTACCATCTCTGTCCCTCTGCTGTTAAATCCTCTGCTGCTCTCTAGTCAGTCAAAACCCTTGGCAGTCCCTACCACGGCTGTCTGCCCCGTGGTGCTCCGTATTCCATACCCATCCTTTACCTTTTGCCCAGAAAAACACAAATTAATTCTGTGCTTAGTGTTACAAAACAATCAGGTAAATGTGTCTTACTAGTCATCAAGGTGAAGTGAAAATTTAGCCATTTTAACTAATTGCTTCATTGGATAATTCGACTATTATAGTCTCATGGTCATTTCTTCTGGTTGTTTTTTAAAAAAAGTACTTTGAAGTATTTTTTCCTTTCTGAACAAGAAAATAGTAACACCTGTATCCTTAATTTCTAATGAGTTTTTGATTCAGCAACCATGGCTGTATTTTCTTCTCTGGAACTCATTGGGAATCCCATAGGGTTCGGGAACCTTCTTTAAGGTTTACCTGTTCCTAGATTTTAGGAGTTGGGATGATAAGATAAACATTGAACTCTTAGTATTCACTTGGCTTAAGGCTGTGAAATGCTCTCATAGATTGGTTAAAAGTAATAAATACACCTACAGTATTTTTAGGGAGGTAGGCAAGACATATCCCTTCTGGATAGAGGCTTTATGTTTGTTATACTAGACTTATAGAGCAGTTTTCACTTTACTGCAAAATTGAATAAAAAGTAGAGTTCCTATATATTCCCTGCATCTTCAACTTGTGCAGACTTTTGGAAGGAATATCTAGGCTGCCTCAGTTTCCCCTGGCAAACTGGAGGGAGACATCAAGTGCTTCTGCCACTCTTTATAGAAACTTGGTGATTGTCAGCATTTTTCCCTCAGTCCTAGATTTCAGCCTTTAAACAGAGAAACCCCTGGCCTCAAGCACCCCGCATAATACAATGAGGCCACTAACTCGCTGAGCTCAGAACCATCTGTAATTTAGACCCTGTCCTTCTGGTTTCCAATCTACCTGGCCTACAGGAAACCACACAGGACCAAAACCAAACCAGGCTGTAACTGGGACAGGATAAGGGGGTCGCCTTCAAATGAGACATGATGGTAACTCTTTAGGAAGAGTTCTGTTTTGGTTTAATCTTAATCTGAAGTTTATTTGGGTAAAGCCTGAAGCGTGTGTCCCTCTGAAAAGATGAAAACCAATCATAGAATGCCAATCTATGAGTTTCTAGAAAAGTTCCCAGGAAAGAAAACCAAATTTACATCCATGATAAGGATAGAAATGGCGCTGGACATTGAGCAAGTGAATAACAACCGTGTTTCTTTTTTCCAGGTCCCATATTTAACGCCTCTGTGCATTCAGACACACCATCGGTCACCCGGGGAGATCTAATCAAATTGGTCTGCAATATCACTGTCGAAGGAGCACTGGATCCAGGTAGCTCCCTCCACTCTTTTCCCTCCCCCATATTTTTGAAAATGTTTCTCATATCATTCCTCCTGTGTTGCTCTGCAGCAGGAAGCCAAGGATTCGATTGTTTATTCCCATAGTCCAAGCTTGATACTGCCATGGTTGAATGGTAACGTGTATCTGTTAGATGATTTAGAAACATGTCCAGATATTTAAATTTCAGTTGGTCCTCTCTAGCACTGATGTGAAACCCGCTAGTAGGACTTAATTCCTCTCTGTGTCTTTCATTCATCTGTTCACTCAGATATTACTAAGATCCTTCGATGTGTAAGTGCTGCTGTAAATGCTGGAATCCAGGAGTAAACAAAATTCTAACTGTCCTCATGGAGTTTGCAGCCTCGTTAAGGACATAACAAGACAGCAATTAACATTATGAGGAAGTGCAGTACAAAATAAGAGAGTTTCAGCAAGTTACCAGGGGGTGCAATTATAGAATTTTTAGGAAATCATTTCTTTACAGAAAATATTAATGTTACCAACAGCATACTTAAGAGTTGTAGGACCATCTCACACCTTTTCTGCTTGGCTCCATTCAATGATGAGATGGTGCCTCTTTCTTGCCTTTGATCCTTAAGGTGTGAAAGAACATTTACTATTCTTAGGGTCCTCTGTTGGTTAGCAGGACTGTACCCACCTCTGTTTTTTCCTGAAGAGCCCATGAAGAACCTGACTCACAAAAGGCTGCCTTTTCTCCTCTGCTCATTTTAGCCCTGGGCACTGTGCTGGCCCACACCAATGCAAGCAAAGTCATGGCCTCATTCAGATTTGCATCTTCAAAAGGACCGACTGTGCAGGTTCTCCTTGTTTCTGTATGGAGACTGCTGGAAGTGTGGCCGGGGGGTGTGTGTGGTGTGGTGAGGGCACAAGAAACAGGTCTCATTTGGGAAGAAGGGACAGGTACCAGTGCAAAAGGAAGTGGCTTAAAGTAGTCAGAATGGGCATCCAGTGTTGCAAGGCCTGGGTGTACTAGCAAGCCACTGACCAAGTGCATATCTGGCTTCTGTAGGACTTCTGATAGTGCTGGTTTGGTGTTTTCTGAAAAGGACCCAGTAGGAAATATTTTTAGTGCTATGAGCCAGATGGTCTCTACAGCAGCTCCTCAATTCAGTCACGATAACAGGAAAGCAGCTATAGATAACAATGTAAACATGTAAATGGGCCTGGCTGTGTTCAATGGAGTTCAGTTTACCCAAACAGGTGTGGGCTGGCTTTGACCTGTAGCAGGTAGTTTACTGATTGATTCCAACATTAGGTGTCTTAGGGAAGCTGCATGTGAATGAGCTTTAGAGGTAGGGGAAAAAAAGAATGTGGGAGATGTAAGAAAAGAAAAAGAAAGAAACCCATCAAACTGATGGGTTTGATGGGGTCATGGGGCTATGGAATGAGGAAACAGGTCTTAGGTGAGTAGCCACTACTGCGCTGAGACGTGAAAGATGGAAGATACAAAGGTGCCATACAGAAGTGGAAATGAAAATAAAAGCAGAAGAGATTGCCAGAGAAAGGGCAGAGAAATCCTTCTGAAAAGTTATATGCCATTTTCATCCTTATATCTCATTTGTAATGTATACAAAACAAATCATTTAAATGTTCTTCCTCAGTAAATTAATGGGTCACCAGTTTTGCCCTTAGTGTAAAAATATTTTTCCCCAGTGTAATTGCTAAAGCTATAGGTAGCTGATAATCTTGCAGATCGTAATTTTCCAGAACTTTGCACTCTTGGACTGCGTGGGTGGAAGATTTTGAATAATTAAATACACATTATAATTTAGTTTTTCTCACACATCCTGCAGACTGTGAGGGAATTCTCTTTTGGAGAGTTGCATAAGTGGGCTGAGGGGTAAGGTGCCCCTGTGCCAAGGTAGGTGGCAGAGCACAGGTCATGCCGTGAGTCAGCTTCTCTAGAAGCAGAGCCCATAGCGACCCACTGGTGAGGTTCTCTCTGGAGAGCCCCATGAAGGAGTAGAGTAGAGCTGAGGAAGAAGTCAGGCAGAGGTTAAAAACACAGAACAAATCTGTGTCTGCAAGGGGCTATGAGGGTATGAGTGCTTCCAGAGCATGGCTCAGCTTGAGCGAGAGGACCAAGCTCTTCTCTCCTCCTGAAGTCAGTTATTACCAAAGAGCATGAGGGGTCAGGGAGTATGTTTCCTAACTTCTGCAAGGCATGTCCAGGATGTGGCTTCTGTCAGGTAAGCCCAGTCCTCTGGAGAAGGTAACGGTGTGAGAGCCTTAGCAGCCAGCACCTGCAGCAGGGAATGGGGACTCAGGGTTCCAACAGCATCTGCTGCTGGAGTGGTGCCCTTCCCATGAGCAGTGTCTATTTTTGGGACCAAGTATTGGAAGTGTGCAGGGGGATGAGTTCATGGTGACCAGCTTTTTATTGAGCACTGATACTGTTCTAAGAATTTTTATTAAGGTAGTTCATTTAGGCATGTGTGCTGTGATTTTCAGGTGATAGAGAAGAAAACTAAGTTTTCTAGAGATGAAAACAAAGAAAACTTAAGTGACTCACCCATGTCACATGGCTAGTGATTGCTGGTGCTGGGACTTAGCCCATGTAGCCAACCCCAGAAGGCACAGGGAATCCAGAGTTTAGAGTCTGGAGTTAAAGTTTTCACTGAGGAGATGGGCATGGTCAAGATATCCTTCTGCCCCCAAAACCTGCAGGTATGGGGAACTTGATGGCAATCTTGTGACCCCCTCAGAGCTGGCCTTTTTGAATAGAGATGACTTATATTCAGGGATCAAGAAATCTTATGCTCAGGTTCCACAGTGTGGTGATAGGGAGAAAAAGGAGATGCTGTGTTAGATTTTCAGAGTGAGCAGAAAAGGAATTGTCATTGGGATAATTTTGTAGAAATTTCTGCTTTTAGTTAAGCTTGAATTCTTTTTTAATATATAACATTCTGAACATTATAATGCTTTTTGAAGTTACTAGTATACTTTTATTAAATGAAGATACGTTACTTCTTGTATAAGCTGCATTATATATACAGGTACATATGACATGCATACATCCGTACATACTGTCAAGTGGATTTCACTTGCTTGTCTGATAAACCTCAAAGCAGACAGCTGATGTTAGTTGGTACCAATGAAGAGATGAGGTCCGAGTGCTTGTCTTCCATCTTCTTTGAGAATTACCACTTTGTGCCAGTGTCTTTTTTCTCTTATGCCCATATTAATTTATTTGAGGCTGTTAGAACCTTAATTTTGCAGACTACTTTACGATCCACAGCAGTACTCACTGGGACTGTTAAACTATGTTCAATTTTCTCAGCTTGATGTTTTTTTCTCTCTTGTTTTGAACTTAACCACTTCTGCAAGGAAAAAAAAATGCAGTGAACAATAAAATCTAGATTGTTTACAGTTCTAAATTTTGTGCAGTTAATGTTATGTCCATGTTGTTTTTTATGACTTCAATCTCTCTAGTCTTGGGTTCTTCTGCCTTCCATGTTGAAGGACCTGCTTTCTTTGGGAGACAGTGTACAGTGTCACCACCCATCAGCTTTACATTCGTTGCTGTCCATGGAGGCACTTTAGTTAGTCCTGACCCTTCTCACTGTGACTGCTCAGGCTGGGTGGTGACAGTAGGGTGTTTAAGACCCTAAAGCTGGATTTTCTGGAGTGAGTTGTATAACCTTGAATAAGTGGCATTGTCACAGAGGCAAATATAGTAGTCCCTTCATCATAGGCCTGCTATGCAAATGCACGTGGAGCAAAGCAGGCTGGCAGTACACATGTTAAATGCACGGCAGCTGTGTGTCTCTCTGGTTCATTGCATTGACCTCAGGCCTCGGTTTGGTAATTCACAGATAATATGGCCTTTGATGTGAGTTGGTTTGCGGTGCACTCCTTTGGTTTGGATAAGGATCCTGTCCTCCTGTCCTCCTTGGATCGGAAGGGGATTGTGACCACTAGCCGGAGGGACTGGAAGAGTGACCTTAGCCTGGAACGTGTGAGTGGGCTGGAGTTTCTGTTGCAAGTACATGGCTCCGAGGAACAGGACTTTGGAAACTACTATTGTGCCGTGACTCCGTGGGTGAAGTCCCCAACAGGCTCCTGGCAGAAGGAGACAGAGATCCTCTCCAAGCCCATCTTTATAACTGTGAAGATGGATGGTAAGCACAACGCACAGATCCTCTTGGCATTATGTCTTTCGTGCTGTGTCAGCTGCCGTATCAAGGCTTCCATGGTTTGAGATTTGTGGTTCCACACATCTGACTTGCTTTCTCTATAGGCTGGGCCTGGAGTGGACTCAGGGACAGCAGCCAGCCCTTGATCATTCCCAGCTCTATTGTCCTATGCTGGGAGCGCAAAATGATTTTCAAGACTTATGGGAAAGAATTTCAAGGTTTTGTCTTTTCAATAAATTCTGTAGAAACCTACTTTACAGTGTCCTAAGTTTGGCAAGTATTCTGCCAGGGGACAGCAGAGAGTAGCATTGAAAGTGATCATTCAGGTCTCCAGAAGCCACATTAAGTACTGGCTGCCATTGCTTCCCTGTTCACAGCATACAGTGGGGACTTCACAGAACCCCCAAATGGGAAGATGATTTCCAGTTCCTTTGGTCCTAATGGCCATCAAGGTCAACCTAACTGAATGGTCAGAACTCTGTTCCTTGGACATCAAAGGTGGGAACTTGTTTCTTGGTTCATAAAAAACACTTCATCTACAGAAGAGTACAGAAAATAAGTGTTAATTGGGATAACCCCACAGAGAGAATAAAATTTTTTGGTGCCTTCCAGGTTTAGTAGAAGCCTGAGGAGTATTTCCCTAGTGATATGCCAGTTTGGGGAGATGGCCCTGAGAACTCTGGACTCTTCCACAGATTGTTTGGCCTTTCCAATTGTCTCCTTTCTTTTAAAAATGAGACAGTAATGTTTCACAGGGCTGTTGTGAAAATCTAAAGGGACCTGGCTCAGCAATACCCACCCAAGAAGTGAAATACTCAGAGGAAAGGGAAGACAGTGCTTCAAGAGTAGCATCTGAACCGTGGTGGCACATATTTGAAACTTCTGTCATCTATAGTGTGTTTGTGTCTTGGAAATTCCTTGCTTGAAGTTACTGTATATGAAAACCCACATTTACCAAACAAGTAGAGTAGTGATTATTCAATTTGCTAGACAATTTACTATAGTGTTACTTAAAATAACTCTCTTAGTACACTTCAGTTATTTGATGCATAGAATTGATTTATGCAGTGTTTTTTAAAGGATGCATCTGCTACTGAATGTGCAGTGCCCTTATACTGACTTTTAAAAATCAATCTTCTGCCAAAACCCAAAAAGCAAGTTGACATTCAAAGACAGCAAGCAAAATCTTTTTTGTGCTCCCCACTCTACAGAACTGTATGGGGAGATATTTGCTCATTTTGTCAGTGGCCGAGGTCGTCTTCTTTGCAGCACTGTGCTAGGCAGTGCTGGGTGCACGGTTTATGAGGTCTGATCCCCTGGGAGATCCTGTTGCAGAAGTTAGGCAGGCCACAGTCCCCAGCCACCTCCTGGCAGCACTGACGCTCACCCTTGTTTTCTCCCTCCCAGTGCTGAATGCCTTCAAGTACCCGCTGCTGATCGGTGTGGGTCTTTCCACGGTCATCGGGCTCCTGTCCTGCCTCATTGGATACTGCAGCTCACACTGGTGCTGTAAGAAGGAGGTGCAGGAGACACGGCGGGAGCGCCGGCGGCTCATGTCGATGGAGATGGACTAGGCGGCGGCCACAGGGAGGGACAGAGGATGTTCTGGGACGGTGGGGGTGAGAAGAGGACAGTGATACTTTAAAAGGAAGTGTGTTACACTAAACCAGTCCTCTCTAATCTCAGGTGGGACTTGGCGCTCACTCTTTTCTGCATGTCAAGTTCTGAGCGCGGACATGTTTACCAGCACACAGCTCTTCTACCCACAGCACTTTGATGTATAACAATTGAGTGTGTGTTTTCCCAGCTGCAGCTTTTTAACGCTTAACCTTCGTCTGATTTTTTCCCCTACTGGCTTATAGATCCTCTGACTTGAGTGTGTTGATCACTTTTGTTGCGCGGGCTTGTGGTGAGGAAGGGGTAATGGCGTTCAGAGTTCTTTATCCTGGGTGAGATTGTGCCGGCCCATGGTAGGGGCTCACCTGGGGAGAGCTGCTGTGACTCTCCCCCAGGTGAGAGGTGACACAGACTGTGCCAAAGGCTGGTTTGTGATCTTAACTACCCTACTCCATCCCCTATTTCCAGGCGTTTAGACTACATTTGAAATCTAAACTTGGAGTATGTAACTTCTCATTGAGCCCAGATGCATTTTTTTCTTCTCTGCCCCTCTTCCATTTCTTTTGCATCGTTTTCTGTAAGCGTGCTGATAGGGCAGCCCTGGAATCTGGAATCTGGCTTTCCACCAAGCACCTTATCTTGCCACCTTCGCCTTAAGAGTGAATATGAAGACTATAAATACACGGCCACCTCTGTCCAGGGCAGTTAGAAGTTCTATGAAGAAGAGGAAGTAGGGGACCAGAAGGGAACAGACATTCTCTCAAAGGATCTGCAACTGCGGAGCCTCAGGGCCCCCAATGAGAGAGGGGAGGTTAGGGTTATGCAGCCCGAGCCAGGAGGTCAGTGGATTCCGGGCGATGCTAGGCTGAAGAAGCCCCTCCATCCCCTCTTCTGCCCTTCATGAGGCAAAGGTGTTGGCCACTAAGGAACTTGCAGGGGACCCTCAGAAACGCCATGTCCTTCACACGTCACTTGACTTCCTTCACGTGAAGGCAAATTGCTGCTTGCAAGATTGACTGACTTCAAGGGCTCTGAAATTGCCTGGAGGAGTCGTGTATTTTCTGTGACCTTTTCAGTCCTTCAAGTCTTTTTAAGATCCTCTGCAGGGGGCTAGTGAGAGAGGGTATATTTGTGGTGTGTTTGCTTTCCTGTTAGGAAACCCAGCAATTTACTGTCACGTGAAAGGCTTGTAAAGTAGGGTTGCGAGCAGTCCCTTTGCCTGACTGCTCCCATCAGGAGGAGACAGAAGAGATTTTCTAGGTCCCCAGTTTCTTCCGCACTAGCAGCGTGCCCCTCTATGCCCCAGCTCCCTGAAGTGTCTCACGTCCCACACTGCACTGGCCTTGCAGAAACATCCCAGTAGGGTTTCCTGAGGCTCCCCGTAACTCCTGCCCTAATTGCAATCCCTCTGTGCTTTTATCCTGGCTCTAAAGGATCTAATACTGCTCTGTCTTCCAAAGGAGAAAAAGATTCGTTTGTTTTGAGCAATAAAGTAATACAAAATGATAGCCATTCATGTGCGGCTCTTTGTCACTGTGGGCTGATGAGCCAAGCTCCTCCCTGTTCTCCATCTCCTTTCCTTCCCCTCTCTCTGCTGCCTATGACTGGGTCTCTGCTTATCACTGAGTCAATCCCAGAGGCAGACTTCTAACTAGTTTTCCCATTTTTTTTCTTTTTTTGCCCACAATGGGGACCATTGCTGTAATAGAAATACTAGATTCTGTGCTGATGGTCGCAGTATAGTTGGGTTCCAGAACTCAAGTGTGGTGGGAAAACAGGCAGCAGGTATGCCCAACCCCAGTGAGAGACTGGAGGAAACAGACTTCGGTGGCAGTAGACTTGGGTATTTTCTATGTGTTATTGGCTATGTGTGCTATTTCAGAGAGGGTGGGACACAGATGATTGTTCAAACAGGAGTTAGAGCAGCAGGTGTTGTATTAGCAGCAGCCGGTGCCCTAGAACTCTTACAGTTACCAAATGAAGATCGGAAATTGTTATACCCCAGGTCCTTTTTAGTAAGAGGAAGAAGTACTTAGCTTTGGACAGGATCGGGTGCATCACACGAGACACATGGTGGTGGTCAAAGGGCCATGTGGTCACATGTTGTACCTTTTCCTTTCAAATGGATGGTGCAGTTCAAGGCTGAATTGTTATAGCACTGACTCCCACATATCCCTGCTCCATCCTCAAGTCATCTGGGGGCAGGGAGAGGGGGTGTAAATCCCAGGACATCGCACCAAGGACTTAGTTCCTTCCAGGGACATAAACTTGCTTGGGATGTGTGTCTGTTTTAAATGTGAGGTGCGCTCTTGTACCAAATAGGGCTTCCCACAAAGTGCTCTTCTGGGAGAGGCTGCTGCCAGCAGCACGGGCGTGTGTGAAGGAGTGACTGAGCCTGGTCTCACATGGATGAAATTGCACTTCTTGACAAAAAGAAACTATGGAAGGTTGGGTTTTTTCCTAATCAAAAGGTGTATCCAGAAAGAGCCGAAGCTATATTCAGATAGAAGCCTCAAAATTACTTTAGATTGTTTACTTTATGATGTTTACATACATGTTTCACTTTTTAAAAATAAAAGAAAGATGCAAACTCTGGCTTTTTAAGAACTTTTCAGATTTTTCATGGGACAATGGAACTCTGACTCACCAGCTGAACTAATTCTTCATTTAGAGGTGTATTTATGTGTGTGTTTCCCTCCTTCCAGCTGTGCGGCTCCCTCCTGCCCAGATCTGTGTTTCTTTCCCTGGTGGCTCTTGCCTCTCGCTTTGCAGACTCCCTGTAGCCATGATTTTGTCACTGACATCTGTGAGCCAAAGACTGAGCCTTTCTGGCAGGAACAATAAGCAATACTACACAACTTGCCACATTCAGAAAATTTTTTTTCGCTTCCCTGATGACAGCAGAGGAAAAAGGGAACTGGGATTTGGGTAAGTTCTCCTCCGCTGTTGGACCACATTCTCAGTGATAGATACATGTGCAGATCACTAGGAGAACAGGTTGGCTTTCTTTCTTTTTAGTGTGGCACATAAGGATCTGCAAGATTTTCAGTAGACAAAGAAAAGGTCCTATGTATTTTTGTCCATATCCAATGTTATATGAACTAATTGTATTGTTTTATACTGTGACCACAAATATTATGCAATGCACCATTTGTTTTTTATTTCATTAAAGGATGTTTAATTTAAATTGTAGTTGTGTGAGGAACTTGATATTAGCCTATTTCCCTTCCAGTTCTCCATCGTGAGGGATTGTGGGTGAATCTCAGTTGCAACCTTAGCACTTTATCATCTTATTGAACTCTGTAAAAGCACTGTAACCTTTCACTAATGCTAAAAGAAAAACTGGATTTGGTGGGTCCATGTTGAGGTCCCACCAGTGGAAAGGTGAGGGCTAGGAACCTGTGGCTGTGAATGGTCTCTTTATCTCTTGCTGAATTTCTGTGACCTTCAGGCCTCTTTTTCAGGAAAGAGAAGTTAAGTATTATTCCTCTCTGCAGATGAGGAAACGAACACCAGTGTTTCATGACTGTATTATGACTGGGACAGAATGGTTTTTCTGACTCATGGTGTGGGGTGGAGCCAAGCTGGAGCAGAAGGTACTGGCCTCTGCAGTGTGAGAACAAACAGTCCTCTTCCCCAGAATACTGTCTTTAGTACACCTGGGCGGGAGAGACTGCCGAAAGCCTAGCCATCTGCCCTTGGCTGGCCTCCTCAGCTCACTATCCTGTTGGGCTCATTTGTGTTTCCTCTGTCCGGGGACCACCTCACATTGTGAGTTATTCAGGGCTGAGTTGTGTCCTCGTCACTCACAATGCCCAGTGATTGGCATTGTTCCAGGCATATAGGAGGCACTTGGACATCCTAAATGCATAGCTAACTTGTCTGCTGCCGAAAATTACATGGTTCTCAGTGAACCAGGAGGATCTGCTCATGTCAAAATACTTACTGATGCAGCAAGTATTTTTATTGGTGTCATATGCAAATCCCCTACCTATTAGAGAACCCATTCCTTCCTGAAAAGCAAAACAAAAATTTACTTACACACCTACCATGCACATAATAAAAAGAGGCTCAGCATCTTGAAAGCATGAACAGTACAAATCAGAACCACAATGAGATATTACCTGGCCTAGATCTCAAGAGAAGGAAGCATGCCATGCTGTAGAGGGCCACCTGGGGAAGCGCCAGGGCTAGGGGGAGAAAGAACAAGGAGAAACAGCTGAGAGCCTTTGTTGTATTTTTCAGAGGAGGAAATGAGCAAGGTGGAGTAAACAGGGTTGGGACTGGCTAGGTTGACTAATTCCCACATGTTCTGGGGCTAGGGACTGTCCCTAGCTGTCTGGCCTTGAGGGGATGAAGATAAAAGGGTAGTGGGCCTGAGTGTGATAGAGGAGTGTGGGCTCCGGACTGGTTGGTTTGCCTAGGAAAAACATGCTCCCTGTTGAGTTCTTTACTGTCTGTAGGAGTTGGCCAGCTCAAAGAGGGGCAGTGTCTTCAAGATCAGTGAAATACCAAATATGAAAGCATCAAAAATAAAATAAGATGACATAATTAATACATCCTCACTGTTAGGGGCATGCAGCCTGCTAAGGTACATACCGAGCGAGGGGCTGCTCCTGCGTCTTGCTGTGCGTTCTCCAAGCCGTGTGGCAGCAGTGCTGCTTACTGCCACTACAGAGTTTGTAGGGAAAAAATGGATATACGTGTAAGGAGAAGAAAAATAGTATGATACTTTTTCAACAGATTGGTATTAGCCCATAGAAGGGATAATAGAGAATATCGTTTTATCACAGGAAACCCATTATCTGCTGACCCATAGAGAAGAAACTGAAAATGCCTGTGTAGCAATCTCAATAACCAAGGCTACCCCAACAACAGTTCACCGTACTGATGAGTGTTCGGAAGCTAACAGCCTCCACTTTGAGCACCCCTTGTAGTTGTAGAGGCCAAAGGTAATTTGTACTAATGTGATGTATCAATATGCACATTTTTCCTGAAGCATATATACATTTTTTTTTTGCTGGACTCTATGTATTCATTTAATAGCATGTAAACCAAGAGATGTGATTATCAAAGAAAGAAGTATCAAGCAATGCTATTGGTAGGCCTGGGGCAGTAGCTCAGTGGTAAAGCACTTGCAAAGCCCTAAGTTCAATCCCCAATGCTGGAGAAGAAAATAAAAACCAAACTAATGCTGTTGGTTAACTAGATATTCATATGTAAAAGTTAAGTTGGACTCATATATGTGACACTAAAAGTAAAACCTAAATTGGACTAAAACCTAAGTGTAAGAATAAAGCTATAAAAATCCTAGAAGAAAATAGGGACAGCTTTAAAGCACTGAAATTGGTGATGAGTTCTTTGCATATGACACCAAAAGCATGGGCAGCAAAACTAAAAATAGACAAATGGAAAAAGCTTCTATATGTCTGCCTTAGTCACTTTCTTATTGCTGGAACAAAAATCCAGCACCCACAACTTAAAGCAGGAAAAGTTTATTTTGGTTCATGGTTTTCAGTCCACAGTTGGCTGACTCCGTGGCAGGAAGGGCATGGGGGAAGGGCCTGGCAGAGGGAAGCTGCTCACATCATGGAAGCAGGGAGGGTCTGGGAGGGAGGTGGACCCTTCCTTGTCACATCCCCAGCAGTGACCCATCTCCAGCGCTGTCCCACCAGGGGCCATAAGTTAGCTGTAGGGCTGCAGTGGTCCAGTCGCTTTCCAGAAGTCCCAGCTCTGAGGCTTTTGGAGGACATTCTAGATCGGAACCATAACAATGTCAAAGGAAACAATCAACAGGATGAAAAGGCGACTAATAGAATGAGAAAAATATTACAAATCATCTCTCTGCTAAGGAGTTAATTTCCAGATTGTATAAGGAACTTCGTTTACTAAATAAACTGAGTGAAGAGCTTGAATAGGCAACTCTCCAAAGAATATATACAAGAAGTCATCAAGCATATGAAGAGATGATCTGTTCTGCATCGCTGCCATAAGAGAAATGCAAATCAAAGCCACAATGAAATATTACCCTATACCCCTTAGGATGGCCACTGATAACAGAACAGAAAATAGGAAGTGTTATTCTCGTGCAAGAATGAAGCGAAATTGGAATACACGCTGTGGTGAGAGTGTAAAATGTAACCATGGAAGAACACAGTATTGATGTTCTTCAACAGATTAAAAATAGAACTAACGGGTGATTCTATGATTCCACATCTGGGTACATACTATATCGAAGAAAAAGCAGTATATAGATATCATAGAACATGATGTAATCTTAAAAAGTCTTTGATATACAACACTGATAAACCATGATGACATTCTTCTAAGTGAAATAAGCCAGTCACAAGAATAAATACATATGATTCCTCTCATATAAAATCTCTAAAAGTAGTAAAAAACTATAGCAACAGAAGGAATGGAAGATAATTACCAAGAACTAGGGAAGGGGAAATGATTGTCCAGTGGGTATTGAGTTTTAGTGCTATAAGATAAAAAAGTTCTAGCTGGGGATTTAGCTCAGTGGCATAAGCACCTGCCTAGCAAACACAAGATCATGAGTTTGATCCCCGCCTTAAAGAAAATTCTAAAGCATGCTACCAATTAAGATATGGGCAAAATAATTTAAAAGATTGAAGGTTGAGGGTAGGACCAGGGGGTCACCAGAACATGGAATAATTGTGTACTCTGTTGGCTCCACAAACGTCTAAGTTCTTACTCTGTTTTAAAGAATTCAAGCATGAAATTATAGAGAAGATGACAGAGGTTTGGTTCGTGCAAGAAAATGGTAAAGAGATTCCAGGAACAGACCTGTATTCAAGGGAAAGACATGGGTCCCTGTCAAGAGCTGATAAGTGTGCATGTATGTGGTTTAAGTGGCAAAAACTTTGATACATTTTTAAAAAAATGATTTCTGACGTCACCTGAGGTTTCCTCTTAAATGTTAAACTAACAGCACAGTGGGCCAGTGGGCAGCTAACTGGGAGAGAGTTTGCTAGCATACTTACAGCCCTGAGTTTGAAGCCAGTGCCACAATGCAAAAACTGACAGCTTTAATAATGTCAGATAAGAATTTCTACTGTAATTGCCCCCACATTTATAGATTAGGAACTTAAGACTTAATTCAAGCCCAAGTCTTCCTCTTTTTTTTTTTTCTTTTTGATTTTGAGCTTTTTTAAAAAACATTTTTATTAGTACATCTTTGCAGTGCATAATGGTTACATTTGTTATGAGGAGTTGGTCCCGTACATAGTCTGTCAATTCTGTTTTTGTCCCCTCCCCCTCTCTCCCCTCCCTACCCCGTCCAAGTCTTAGCACCCTTTCCCTTTGCAAAGGCTCTGTTTCCCATGTTTAAATATCACATTGTTTCTATGGTGTGGGAAAGCAAAATGGTAAATAAGGACCAAAATGTTTAACAGATACTGGGAAATAGGAAGAAAATGTTCAAATGGGAAGGGAACAAGCAAGGGAGAGGAGAAAAGAAAGGAAAGGAAAAGAAAAAAAAAAGGAAAAAATGGGAACAAAGGGATGAAGGGAGGCGAGGGGGTTGGGGAAAGAGAAAAATCAGGATATATTATGTACAGGTACAAATTCCCTTTGATGAATGAGGTCATGGATATCTAACATGTACCAATAAAATTTTTTAAAAGCCTGAAAGTTGAAAAAAAAAAAAAAAAAAAAGCTCTATTTCACGAACTTGGGAAGGGGAATTTTTTTCTCCAGTTTTTTTTTCATCCCTTTTCCTGACCCTTCCCTCCATCTCTTGTCCCCTTTCACATTTGAAAAAGACCTCTCTACTTTTTTTTATTTTGAAGGTAATAAAATACAACAAAACAAGACAACAAAGCCAACCAAGACAATGCAGTGAAACTCGTACAGAACTTCAAGGCAGGATCCTGGGATAACAGTCATAGGTACCTTAGTATATCTTGTTATCTTCACAATAGCTGTCCATTCAATCAGGTGTAGCAAAATCAAACCAAATACAGAACATTATAAAGCCTATCGAAATAGTATATTGAATAGAGCAAGACAATTGATGAGAACAAAGCAAAACAGTGAAAACAATATTTGCCTTCAAAGAGAAGACAGAAGGAAATCCCCCATATTTGCTATATTGCATACTGTCATCCTCCCAAGAGATGCTCAGACCTCTGGCCCCAGGTCAGCATAATCAACCCAGCATACAAGCATTTAGTACATTGTTATTTAGCCTTAGTTGCTATCAGTGCTGGCTGTCCTGTCCTCGACACCATCCAGTTGCTAAACAGGTGGGGGAAGGGGAAGTTGGAGAGGTGGGATGTTTGATTCTCAACCCACGCCTCATGGGAGACACTGAACCGTTCTCTTCCTGGGGTGCCTGTTGCCGGCGCCGCTGCTTACCCGGTGGGGCTTGTTGCTGTCTTGTTAGCCCACCTAAGGTCCCTTTTATCTCTTTTAATTTGCACTTTACTTGTATTTTTGAGCTCCTCATATAAGCTTGTGTGTCTGACCCCAAAGACTTTGCAGGTTCTAAATCACTACACCAGCCTCGGTGCTTGAATATTCCAGGCATTCATTAAGTATGTGTTGAAAAGCTGGAAAGGTGCATAAGAACTACACTCTGTCGTTAGGAAATTCATGGCCTTAGAGAAGGAAGCATGCAAATAATGTATTATGGGATAAGAAGTAAAATTACAGAAATTGACCGATGACAGCTCAGAGGAGGGAGCAGTTAGCTCTATCCAAGAAGTCAAGAAAGGTTTCACATAGGAGATGCAAAACCCAGAGTTAAAAACAAATCTTAAGTCAGGTGTGCTGGCACATATCTGTAATACCAGAACTCTGGAAGGCTGAGGCAGAAAGATCATAAGTTTAAACCCAGCCTGGATAACTTTGCGATGTAGCAAATCCCTGTCTCAAAATTAAAAAGGAGAGTTGGGGTGTTGCTCAGCAAAGATCCTAGATTTACTCCCCAGTACTGTATGTATGCATTTACCAGATAGAGAGGGGGCGTTCTCCTAAGCAGAAGAAATCATGTTTGCAGAGTGAAAGAGGGAAGCAGTGAAAAGACAGCCCCAGAGAAATCCGAGTGCTTCTGTACTGCTGCCAGATGAAAGTTGAAGGTAGGGTGCTGAGAGAGTTCGAAAGGGTCAGCTTATAAAGGTCACATCAAGGAGTCTGGACTTGACATTCCAGAAATACTTGGGAAATCACCAAAAACTTTCACCTGGCAATGCATAGCTGTGTTTATGCTTTAGATCACTTACAGCAGAGTGATGGGATAGGGCAAAGCTGGAGATCACCTGAGTTGCATTAGTCCAAATGAAAACTTGAGGCTTTGCATTGTGACAGCAAGAGGTAGAGTTAACTCATGAAAGATCTGCCCCCCAGCCCAGTGGTGTGTGCCGAGAATACCAGTTACTTGGAGGGTAGAAGGAGGAGGATCAGTTGCACCTAAAAGTTGAAGAAAAAGACAATTTTAGGATAAACTAATAGAACTTTATAGTTGGATGTGAAGTCTGGTGGCATCTGGATGTGTATCAGTGTTTTGAGCACTACAAAAAATACCAGTGAAAGACAAGTCCTGGATAACAAGCCAGAAGATGTGTTAAAATGAGTAAGTAGCTTTAGGATCCAGCCATTTTCTACCCATTTAATTTTGGACTGCTAGTCCAAGACTCCAAGTCTTATTTTACCAATCCATGAAATGGGATTAATAATGCCTACCCCACAGCAATACAAGTTATTCTATAAAGTTGCACATGACATGCTTTGCCATAAACTTAATATTTAGGCTGGGCATGTGGAACATGCTGCACTTGGGAATCTGAGGCAGGAGGATGCCTGGGAGTTCAAGGCAAGCCGGGCCTACATAATGAGTTCAAGTCTTTCCTGAGCTGCACAGCAAGATCCTGTCTCAAAAAAAAAAAAAAAAAAAAAAAAAAAAACCTGAGAAGTAAAAGATCTTTGTTCCTGAAGCCTGAATACTTAGAGTAGGAGACCACAATACCTACAGTTTCCCTGAATCTTGGGACTAATATTGGAGCCTGTGAACCAGTAAGAAATTCTTTTCATTAATCTCGCAGGAATGGGCACAGAATTTTCCAGTAGTATATTCCTGGTTGCTTTGGCAGACAGTGGCCCTCTCTCTCCTGCTGAATCCAGAGCTGCATTTTCACATTCCTTTCAAGTGGTACAATGGCAAGTAGTGATTCCCAAGCCAATAGAATAACTGTCTCTTCTGCCAACTCTATTTTTTTCCCCTTTCGTCTTTTTTTCCTTGACAACAGAAAGCCTCTTTTTTCTCTCCAGCAAAGAAGTGACATTACCCTGTCAATGTTAAATTCTGGCAGAAATGGAGCCACTAAAATAGAAAGAGAAAAAATATTGTAGCAACAGCCAGGAATAAGAAGTTGCACAGAATTAACCGGGTTGTTTATATTTTGTGAATACAGAATACTCTGTATTATGAGCAGTGATTGTCTCTGTAGTTAAGGCTTACTTCTAAAATAATTCTGTTTTTGAGGTGTTTGGCAGATCTATTGTATTGATGCCCCTGTTTTTTTAAATCTCCCCCATGTAGTTCCTTCATCAAAGAGGCAGAATCCAGTAATCCACCTCTTACCTTCAGACTTGGCCATGTGACTAGCTTTGGCCTGAGGTTGTTAGTGGTCATTCACAAGTGTTTGTGTGTCCACTGGTTCTTTTGGACCCCTGACATCTCCCTGAAAATGCATAAAGCCAGCCTTCTAAAGAGAGGACAACGGAGCCATCCGAGCCAAGGCCATCTGGGATACGCTACTCTCATCAGCCCAACCACAGACACATGAGCAGATCCACCCAGCTGACCTGTAGCTCGTCAATAAAAATACTGTTAGAGGGTACAGAGGTCTTCTGGTTGTTTGTTACACAGTAGAAACTAATTGATACAGTGCATTTGCATAAAATATTGGTGTTTCGTGGAGACCCATGACTTCTCTAACTGAAGTGGTGAACAAATTCCCATACTTCAAGCTCCATTCATTCAAATAACAGCTTGGAGAGTCAGTCTGAAATCTCCATTCTAGGCAAGCTGCCCTTTAATATTTCCCTAAACACAGCCTATGCATCCTGGCCTCTTTTTTGTGCTGTTAATTTCTTCTTACTGGAATGTCTTCTCTTCCCTGCTTCTTTAAATCATGTCTGATCTCCAAGGATCTACCTAAAATCAGCCTTCTCCAAATGACCCTGGGTGACTGGCCCCTGCCTTTCCAGCCTGTTAGGCCTTAGCGGATTTCCTGTCTGAACCATGAGTTGGCTACTGACACGTGCTATCTTATATACCCAGTTTCTTATTAACAGTCATTTACTAAACTAAAAAATCCAAGTTCCTGGAGGGCAGAGTTTTTTTGGTTTTTTTTTTGTACTGGGAATTAAACTCAGGATCTTGTGCCTGCCAGGCAGGCACTGTGCCAGTGAGTTATGTCCCTTGCCCAGAGCTCTTAAGGTTTCTTTTATCCTCACTTCTTGTATAGAACTTTGAAAAAGAAAATGCAGGGTCTTTCACTACAGACTTTAATATCCATAGGTTAACTGGCATTAAGGGCTAATTGATAGGCATTATTACTAATGAGAAAGAAAGAGAGAGGGATGACTGGTGAATGGACTCTCAGACAGATGAAGGAAAGAGAAATGCTTGAATGAAGTTCCAGGCTTCTGACATGAGTGTGTGGAATGCTGCCCTTTTCTATTACAATTTTCACTAGAAAAATAAATTTTACCCTTAAATATTGGCTTTACCCTGAGGTTTTCCTCACTTTCCTGTTCTCCCCAAATGAAATAGGCTGCCTCCCTCCTCCAAATGTCAGCATATCTCTTTGTCCGCCTCCTAGGGGGCCTCAGCCTATTTCCTGTATGACAAGCAGCGGCTTTTCCTTCCCGCTCACATCCACCTGCACTCCTTGAGCTCAGAGGCTGTGCTTTTACTGTGCCTGGATCCGTAGCACTTGGTAGCTTATCACATAGATGATAAGTATTTATATCTCTTCTCCGTTTTCCTGGTTTTGGGTTTGCAAGGTTGCCCTGTCTGAGCTCAAACTTTGGATCCTGCGACCTCAGCCTTTCAGAGTTCTGGGATTACAGATGTTTGTACACATCTGGGATTACCATCATGCCCAGATGCCTCTTCTGTATTTTAGATGCCCCAATTCAGGCACTCATCATTGCTCATACAGAAAATGGCGAAATCTTGTCATTGGTCTTCTTGCTTCTAACATTTTCACCTTTTTAACCAGTTAGCAAGGCACAAGTATCAGCTTCAAGTTTAAAATAAATTCCATAGAAACAAACAAGCAAGCCCTGGTAACATCTTCCCTCTTCCTCAGGATAAATTCAGGCTCCTCAACCCGGCATGCAAAATCCATTACGATCTGTCCCAGCAAACCTACAGACCCTTCTTTCATGCCAGACTTAACTTTCATCTCCAATAGGAGCGAACAGCCTGCACCGCTTACCCACAGACTTTCTCCCCAGCCATCCCTTACCCGTTTTGTTCCCTTGTTGTTTCCTGTGGCCTGGTCCCATCCACCCTGATAGTCTCTCCTGTCTACCACTTTCCTTCAGCCCAATTAGGTGCCCTACTGCATTATGATTATCTGATTTATGAGGGAGTCTTCTGAGAATAAAGGCAAGGTTGTATACATCGCTGTACATTCAAATTTTACCATAACTCTTAGAACATGGACTAAACTGTTGCAAGCTAGCTGGCTGGAGCAGTGATCTGCCTGTAACTGTGATCTAAAACAACCAGTTTACTGACTGACCTAAATCTAGACTTAGAGGCTAAAGCTGATGTTCTCCCAAGTTCCTGTCATGTGTGATCTTGCATTCAACAGCTAGAGCAGGATTAAATTGGCTGGAGTTCAGTGCCACTAGTTATATATGCCATCTTTGGTGTCCATACTGATACCGGGCAAAGACTCACTTAAATGACCCATGGTGGCGGTGTGGTAGCTAATATTCATTGAGATTACTTGTACTGGATATTTTTCTGTTTCAGATTAATTTATATGTTCAGCTTTCATAGCAATCTTGTAGGGTACATACAATAAATATCCCCATTTTAGAGAGGAGTTTAGAAAAGGTTAATTGGCTTTTCTAAGATCCCACAACTACTTAGAACAGAATCTGCGTGCAAACCAGACAGGCTGATTCTACAGTCTGTGATGTTCACACCTCAGTGACCCCAAGTTCATATTTTCCAGGGACCTTTCTCTTATTTCCTCTTTCAAGATGAAAAAGAAAGGGCCAAAGAGAGAACATTTCTCATTGCTTTTTTATTTCTTCAGTTTACTTAAATTCCCCTATTACTGCCAAATGATACATACTTAGTTAGGATGAGTCCCATCTTATTTTCATCTGTATATGTTTACTTAACCACAAAGGTATTTTTTTACAACTTAGCAGAGAACAACATAAATTAGTTTTGCTTTTTTGCAAGTCATCTGTGTTTCTCAGTGTGTTGAAAACCACACTATAGCTTCCTCTTTACCATTGTAGTGAGAGCATATTTGTCACTGTACTTCTGAGCAGCTTTGGTGACGCTTCTGGGAAAGGTCTATATTGGTCCAAATGGCACACATCGTATATGTGGCATCTTTCTCCCTCCTTCTGAGTAAGTTTCACCATTCTCTGTGTTTCTATCATCACAGGAACTGGTCAACAAGAGGCTGTTGAGTGATGGAGCAGGACAATTTGGTCTTTACAGAATCAACTATGCCACATACTTCTGTGGTTGCCAATAATTTCTGATTTACTGGTGACAGTTCTTTGCTTTCTTGCATAACCCTGAATTCCAGGGAAGGGTGGTGCTTGGTGCTTTACATTTGTCTGCACTGACAAATATTTCACTTTTGCCTGGTTCTGATTCTATCTCTTCTTAAGCCACCTGTCTGGGGAGCATGTGAGTTGCTGTTTCCCAGACTGAGAAGAGACCTTAAGGTTTGCCTGATGTTAAGGTTTGACTAGACACACATGCATTGGAGTGGAAGCTGGGTAGAAGAAAAAGTTAAGAGACTAAGCTAAAAGACGTGTCTGTACTTTGCTTATGATTAATGTGGGAATTACCTACTGAGAGCCTAAGACAGGAGCAGGATGATTATTTATTTGACTTACCAGGCTGAGAGACATTTATACATGTTAGAACAAGCTTATGGAGGTGCAATTTGGAGGTAGAGGGAAGAATCATAGGAATCAGGCAAGGAAGAAGATAGTTTTAGACTGGACAGAGTAGGTACCAGGTTCTTTTTTGTGCTATAGCTTTCTTTAGCATCCAGAAATGCGTTGGGCACCCTATCTGAAATTTTTGTTTTGTTTTGGTGGTTCTGGGGATGAACACCAGGTTCTCAGGCTGTGCATACTTATGAAAGCACTCTACCACATCTGCAGACCTCAGAAGCATTTTTAAATGCAAAAAATAAGATGCATAGGATTGTAAAGGACATTAGTCACACTAAAATAGTTATCAAAAATTTTAATAAATTCTGAAATAGTGATTTATTTGACTATGTATTATATAAAAGATATGGTAAACGATCTACTAAACACTAAACATCAGTGAAGTGATGAATATAAATAATATTTTAATATGGCTGCATGGATGGCAATATGATGTGAAAATATGTGATTCACTGTCCACATTCCCAACTGAAGAAAATACTAAATTTCTGAGATTAATGAAAATAAACTATACAGATTTTTGTTCACTGTAGTTTATGAGTCTTTTAATTTTATTTGTGGACCCAGATTAAGAAAGTTTGCTTTCAAGAGGTGGGTAGAGTTAATGCAGGCTGGGATTTTGGAGGAATTGAGTGAAGCTGTAATCAGGGTATCCAGGTCTATGGCTGAAAAATTTAAAAATATAACAGTACAAGGGGTTGCTGAGTAAACACTGGCTAAATTGACTTAGCTGCTTTATCTCAAGGGACATGTTGGTGAGGATCAGGTTTGGGCCTGATAGGGAGAGGGGTATGTGGCAGGGAGTTCACTAGGATCCCTTGCTGGGTCATCCAAGGCCTGTCAGTCTGGCATGGCAGGTGCTGATGGGCAGGTGTCCTGTGGGATCCTCTGGGGTCAGACGGGTTCCTGTTTAGTTGTCTGTGATTCTCAAGTGTATGTGCTTTGTGTATTTCAGTTGTACATTTGCTTTATGCTTAGGAGGAAACTGGGTTTATATTGTACAATAATTCGGATAATTGCAAATTCTCTCTCTGGTTTTTGTTGTGTTGGCTCATTGTTGTTTGCTTGTGTATTATTTTGGTAAGCAAGCCAGAGGCCTGGAGGAAGGGAAGCAGCAACCAAGATTCAATTCCTGACACCTCTTAAACAACTATTTAAGTCTTTTTCTAACTTCTGATTCCTTTCAAGCACTAATTTTGTATGGAACCCAGTTTTTATGTGAAGAATATATAAATCAGGAAGTAACTTGAAAAAGTTTTGGAAACCTGCTATTTGTCATTACAAATGTAGGAGAAAGGAAGGAAATTAATTAAATGATAATAAATTGGTCTGTTACAGATAGCTGTGTATTGCTGTGGCCTCATGAGTCGAAACTAAACTTTTAAACGTCAAAGTCAAGTCCTTCATGAACCAAAATTCCAACAAGTCCTATCCTTTCTTTTAATCATCACGCAGCCTTTCCCTCTTCCAGTTTACTCCCTGTTTTCTGAACAAATCTTTTGATTCCTACGCATAGTCTTGTCACTAAGTCTCCTTCACCTAAAAGCCCTATCTCCCCATTTGTTGATCTTTGCAATTTTCCTGAGTTCACGGGAAGAGCCCATCTCTCCCCTAAACCTCGTCTATGTCCTTAATCTCAAACGGTGTAATTTATGCTTTTATCAAATCACTCAAAGCATTTTATGTCTTTCTCCTAGAGAGATGACTATCTTTGACTAGATTATAAAATCTAGGAGGGCCTATTCCAGACTCCTCTTATCTTAGGCTCTGCGACATCTGAAATACAATTAAGTGGTTGAATAAATATTTGCGTTGGCAAGTAAACAGTAGAGAGTGAAGTGCTAATTTTCGCAGTGAAATGTTTTCAAATGTACTCATCTCACTGAAAAGTGACAGAAAATGTTGGAGAAATGTTACCTAGCCACCAAAATTAACATTTATGGAAACATGCTCTGATATAAACAGGTTAGTGATACCTCAAAAATCATATTTTTAAAAAGTTATGGTGAAATATATAGAAAAAAGCTAACAAGACACAAATGTGCAGCTTATCAAATAAAAAACTAAAACCTGCAATCACCACTCAGGTCAAGAAACAGAGATTGCCAGGACCTTAGAAGTGTGCACGCATTCTGATCAGAGTCAGATATGAGCACCCCCTCAGATTACAGTGCCTCCCCCACAGTCACTCTCCTGATGCTCAGACCACAGCTTCCAAGCTTTTTAATTCATTGCTAAAGAATACAGTGTGATTTTGCCTGTGTTTAAACTTTACAAACAATGGAATTATTTTTGCACATCAACAGAAGGGTCACAGTGTCTTGAGCCAGGCATGGTGGCTCATGCCTGTAATCCCAGCACTCTGAAGGTTCAGGCAGGAAGATCACTATTAGTTTGGGGCTGGCCTGGACTAAAAAGTGACTTCAAAGCTAGCCTGAAATACATAGCAAGATCTTCTTTCAAAAAACCTAAATAAATAAATAAAAAAGAGTCTTGCATAATTGAGTGAATGTAATCGTCCATGTTATTACAAATGGTTGTCATGCATTAATTTTCAATTCTGTATAATACTCTGTTTTATGACTCTGCCATTCTCCAGTGTCTTTTGTGCTGCTGATGGGCATAGAGGTTGCCTCTTGTTTGGGGCTACGGTGAACAGTGAGGCAATCAATGCAGCCAAGGGTGCAGTGCACACATTTCTTTAAGGCAGTGTTGCTGAAAATGTTTTAAACTGCTTCTGTAGCATGACTTTTTGGTAATAGTTTATATTTTCCTGAGGTGATTTAACTCATATTTCTGGATGGTTAATACAAAAGGTTAAGATGTAGATATAATAACTAGGATGTGTTAATAAATCAGTGTATTTAATTTATCACTAGAAATGTGTATGGCTAGTTGATTGACTGGGTACTGGTTAGTTAGTTTACCAGTGTGAAACTGAGCACGTACACATGCAGGTTGTGGCTGGCTGCGTCAGGTGAGTACTTACTGTTCCTGTCCCTCCCTTTTGTTTTCTCTAAGCCCCCTTACATTCTTTAGAATTGCTTTTATTTCATCTAGAATGTCCATTTGTGGTCTTTTCAGGGTCTCTGTACTGTTATTTTTTTCTTTCCTTGACTTCTTTTCTTATGTAGCCTCCTTTTCTGGTTGTCCTTGTGAAGGGACACAGTTTAGCATATACTCTGTTTCTTGTGACTTCTATTCTTTCTAGAAACTCTATTCTGTTAACTCCAAAACAGCAGCTATCACTCCCTTTTAGGCTTCTGATGTCTTTCAGTCTTCTCTTCCCTTGTTCACTGCATCCTGGCTGCTAGAAAGAGACCTAGTCTACCCTTGCAGTGTCTCTGTCATCCGTTTTGTTTTTTCAGAGACAAAAAAATGAACTTGCCCATAATTAATCATACTAAACATAAACTTTATGATTTCTGAAAAATGCTGGATTAAATTTTTTTCTAAAGAAATGTTACTATTATTTTTTCTTTAAAAAAATTAATAATTAAGATTTGTTTCAATAGAACACATTCCATAATGATCCCACCTGAAAGCTTTTGTTTAAAAAAAGAGAAGAACTAAAATAAATTTTGATCCCAAAACTTGCTGGATTTTATGGTCATCCAGTATGAAGCTTTTCAGTAAAGCTATAGTGACTCTCTAGAAATTAAAACGAAACAAAACAAAACTCTCCACATTATAGAAAGGAAGTGCCACTGCCACTTCAGATGCTAATTTTGGCTAATCTTGCATCAGATCTGGCTGAGAGCTGTAGATATTTCTAACCAACCAGCCAGAAAAATTAGGGCACTGTGGGCAGAGTGACAGACTTTGCTTCCCCAGCAGCCACTCTCCAAGAATAGCGCTGGAAACTGAGATTTGAGAACGTGCTGAATTTTCCCACAAAATAGTATAAAAAATAAATTATCACACATTATATTTGCTTTAAAACTAATGCATGTTTTATGGATGTAGCTATGTTTTATGGATGTAGCCACCATGTTTTATGGATGTAGCTATGTTACATAGATGAAGCTGAAGTTTTTTTTTTTTAAGAGGCTAGCGATTACCATGGAAGTTAAAGTTATAAAAGAACAATTAACTCATAAATCCCCTCCACTGCTGCTTAACCATAAAGAAAGTGGTGAACATTTGAGTTGATTATTTCTAATAACCTGCGGTCTCATTTACCAGAATTGTAATATAGGGAACTACATAATGTGGTACGCTGGGAACCAGAGCACTAATCTATTTTTATTCCCCTCTCTTTCTCCTGTTTGCAAGCTAAGCTCAGCACAGGCCAGAGAGAAGTAACAGTTCAAAAAGGACCGTTGTATAGAGCTGAAGGTTATGCTGTCAGCATTGGCTGCAATGTAACTGGCCACCAGGGACCTTCTGAGCAGCACTTCCAGTGGTCTATTTACCTGCCCACAGCCCCAACCAGGGAGATACAGATCGTTAGCACCAAGGATGCTGCCTTCTCTTACGCAGTATATGCACAGCGGGTGCAAAGCAGAGACATCTACATAGAGAGGGTACAGGGAAATGCAGTCTTTTTGCACATCTCAAAGCTCCAGAAGAAGGATGCTGGCGAGTACGAGTGTCACACGCTGAACACGGATGAAAAATACTACGGAAGTTACAGTGCGAAGACTAATCTAACTGGTAAGATGCTTGTCCCCTTCTGCTGCCCGACTTCTGAGTAGCCAGTCTTCACCCTCACAAGGCCTTTGCTAGAGCTAGATTTTGCACTATTTTGTTTGATTTGGGAAAGGAGTCCACCTAACTAACCCTTTGGATAGTTTGGAAATTTGTTCCAAGTAGGTATTTCACATTCTCTAAAACCTTCAGTTTTCCCAATCGAGCTATATTTAAATAGCATGAGGCCTTCCCAAAGCCTCATCTACAGATCTTCATAGGTTGGTAAGAGCACAGCTTTAGACCGATCTTGAAGTGTTCTCATAATCGTGGAGTCCTGCTATCTTCTTGGAGGCAGAACAGTACCTTGGTGAGAAAACTGGTATCAGGTAACAAGTTATTAACCTGGAAATTATTATTTTCAAAGTACCATTCTCTAGCACTTTTTCTTATAAGAAGATCATATTCCTTGCAACTGTCATTTTGTCCCTTGGCCTAAATATCTGCCACTCCCTTTCTAGCTTAGTGAGTTCCTAGATATCTTTCAGGAGTCAGTTTTGTATGACCTCTTCTGTGGAACCCGTCTCATCTTCCTTCCTCTTGACGCTCTGTTGAGCACATTGTTATTAACACTCACCCAGATATGTGGTAACTGACTGTTAGAATATACCTCGCCCATCGTTCTGAGATTCTTGAGAGAGAATGTTTATCTCAGCTTCTAGCGCAGTGGCGAGTACAGCAGAGTAGATGCTTGCAGAGAGCCCTCCCTGGACCTTGTCTCAGTCAGGTAGGTTTATATTTATAATCCTATGGATACATTATTGGAATTCTAGCAAGTTAATTACAAACGACCACTTCCAGTGCAACCCAGTGAGGATAAAAACACTAAGACATATTTGTAGTTATGGGGAGCCCAGGGGTTCTAAGTCCAGCCAGGATGAAGGTTCATTGGAACAAGGGCTTCGACCCAGGGCCCATCCTTGGATTTTATTAATTCGTGAAAAAGGGAGTGGCTTGAAGATGAGTGACTGTGAGATGGCAGGAAATATGTGAGTGTTGTGAGCTTGGGTTAGATAGGAGACCTGAAAGCATCTCTGCAATACATAGAGAGAAGGACATGCAGAAAGACCAATCTGCATAACACAACTATGCTAGCATCTAATGTTTTGGGGCTAGTGCTTCAGTTCTGATATGTAAACTTTTCTGCCCATGGGAAGTCATACCATCTTATCACATGGTTCCATCCCAGCTGATATCCCTGGAGTGGTGGCTCTTCATCCTGCCCATTCACCCATGTTTTTTGGGAGTCACAGCGCAGTGAAACAGCTATTGTTCCTAGCTACAAAGTTCACACATCCACACCACAGCTAGCCCTATTTACATTGCTTAAAGCCAATTGAAGAGGAAAAAATAGCTTAGCCAGCTCTGTACATATCAATACATGGATATAGGGCAAGCTGTAGCCAAAATAGAAATAATTGCTCTTTATTCAAGGCCAGTGGTCCAGGTGGTCCTATACAGATGTTCAATAGTAATCCGTGGTTCAAACTATGTGTTCACTTAACCTTGAGCTGAATTATTTCCTTTGAGGGAGAGGAAAGGCAGCATAGTAGGATGGTTACAAAAACTTTAGTAAAGATTATATTTTAGTTCTGGATGATAAATTATAACCAATTATTTGAGAACTTTTTTCATAAGAAGCAGAGCAAGACCCAAGAAAATGAAGTGATATGACTATGTTCATGTGGTCAGATGGGGACATATTTAGGGTCAGAATCCACGGAAATCTTTAGTAAAAGTCGAAAGATTTATATGCTCTGAAGAGAAACCAGAGTATGTCAGGTCAGAATCTAGGTCTGGGAGTTCCCAGTGCTTTCCCCTATAAATACTGTATGTCTGAATAGCTAAAATAACTGCAGCCTATGCTAATGGAGCAAAGTCAGAGACTATATATATCATCGAGCCACTTACTTTGCTGGGTTCCTTGGACTGTACACAATGCCAGTGGTTCCACTGCCAGTAGGGAAGCTTATGGTTGGTGAAAAACCAACTCAAAGGACGTGTTTTGCCGATGAGGGTTCAGAGCTCCATCTTCACTGAGTTGGGCAAGCGTGGGCTGGGCATATGATCATCATTCCTTTGTTTTCAGTTATTCCAGATACTCTCTCTGCCACCATGCCTTCCCACACTCTGAGTAAGGAGGAAGGTGAACCATTAGAACTTACCTGCGAAGTGTCCAAAGCCACAGCTCAACATACTCACCTCTCTGTCACCTGGTACCTGACACAGCAAGGAGGAAGCAGCCAGCCCACCAAGATTATTTCCCTCTCCAGAGATTTTACGTTGACCCCTGGGGCTTCATATGCAGAGAGGTTTGCAGCTGGTGATGTGCAACTCAGCAAGCTTGGGGTCACTACCTTCAAGCTCTCCATAGGCAGGCTCCAGCCCTCAGATCAAGGCCAGCTGTTCTGTGAGGCAGCTGAATGGATTCAGGATCCAGATGAAACCTGGATTTCCATCACAAAAAAGCAAACAGATCAAACAACGCTGAGAGTCCAGCCAGCAGGTAATTATCTTCTTGGGAAATCTGTGAATTCACTAGTAGTGAGTAGAAGGAATGTTTTAAATTTTTTTAAAAAGACTTTTGCCGACCCAAAAAAACTTAGCTAGAAATTTTGAATCACTTTCGTTTTATCATCTGGGAAGCATAACAAGAAGTACGTTCTATTTTGGCTTTGTTCATAGAAGCATTTATATGGGACAAGAACGCTAAATGATTAGGTGGATTATGCAAGCCAGACATGGAAATAGTTTTGTAATCATTTTTTTTCTAGGCACTTTGTGAGAACATTATCTACGTTATTTAATTTAGTCCTAATAACCTATGAGCCAACCAGTCAACTCCCTACTTCAGAAATGAGGACCCTAAATGCAGTGTGGTAAATGTGCCCCAAAGCTCACCCAGCAGAGAAGAGGTGGGGCTGGCAGTCAAAGGCAGGCCTGTCTCTCTCCAAAGCCCACTTGGCACAGATGCGAGGCCTCAGAGTAGCTCCAGTCTGCAAGAGGAAGATTATAAGTTTGAGTCTATCCTGGGCAACTTAACAAGATCCTGTCCTGAAATTTTAAAAGAGTTGGAGGGGGTGTTGGACTGTGTCAGTGAGAAAGCCCTGGGATCTTCTCCTTGTCCATACTAGGATTTCCTCTACCTGATTTCTTTTTCCATCTTGGATAGTGATACTCTTCATGATCTACTAGCATTTTTGTCAAAGTAGGCAGACCTTGCTATGGTTTCTAGTTCTCTGCATAGTATTTGACCCAATAAGAGGGAGTTGCTAAAACCATATTCACTAATGAAACCACGATCTCGTGGTGGATCACTGAAGTTTTCTTTCTTTTTTTAAGACACATGTTATTCTACTCCATTAAAAATTGTCCTGTTAGCCTCAAGTACCCAAGTTCTACTCAGTGAGTCCTACAAAGCCACATTACACGTGCTTTTGACTTAGAAAAATTCCCCTGGATATTAGTAGATGAAAAAAGAGAATAAGAAGTAAGGACCAAGGTTGTTTTTCTGGTAGCCCTTGTACTTAGCGTACATGAGGCCCTGAGTTCAATCCCCAGCACGAAGAGAGGGAGGGAAGAAGAGAAGGTGAAAGACACAGAGAGAGAGAGATCATAATTTACAGCAATTTAATATTTTGTTTTCATTTACAAATCATATCTAACTATATAATTTGCACATCTGTGAATACTTTCTGTGCAGTCTGGGGACTGATCTCAAAGCTTTCTCACTGAGACATTTCTAGACCCCTTCCCCTTTTAAAAAGTTTGAGTCAGGGTCTCATTAAGTTGTCCAAACTGGACCCAAACTTGTAATCCTCCTGCCTTATCTTCTGAGAGTAGATTTTAAGCATGCACTACCATGGCCTGTTTTTACGGATTTTTTTATTCTAGTGCTTTGGTGGGGAGGGCACTATAGAACTGAATGTCACGTGAAACGCAATCTTCATAGTAAGCTTATTAAGGTCTCAACTGTCTGGTACTGAAAACATAGATGCAGTGCTCTTTCTAAATACCTGCTTTGCTTTTTCTACATAGTGAGAGATTTTCAAGTCAGCATTACTGCTGAGAGCACGTTTGCTGAAGGGAAGCCCTTGGAGCTGGTTTGCTTGGTGGTGGGCAGTGGCCAGGACCCACAACTTCAGGTTGTTTGGTTGCTCAATGGGATTGAAACAGCCCACATTGATGCTGGTGGAGTCCTGGATCTGAAGAAAGATTACAAAGACAGAGCAAACCAAGGACAGCTCCAGGTTTCAAAGTTAAGCCCCAAGGCTTTCTCCCTCAAGATCTTCTCTGCAGGCCCAGAAGACGAAGGCACTTACACTTGCACAGTGACCGAGGTGGTAAAAACTGCAATGGGCTCCTGGCAGGTGCTGCAGAGAAAGCAGTCACCAGTCAGCCAAGTGCATCTGAAGGAGCCATCAGGTAAGTGAAGTCGGGACAAGGTATGGATCAGCCCTCTCTTCAGCAGTACAGAGGCTTCCTTGGCACAGCAGAAGTCTTCCCGCGGAGTTGGACCACCTGCTGGGGCGACAGTGGGGTAAAGGAAGACACATAGGCTGGCTGGGCATTTTTGGAGTCCTATTCCTGAGCCATTAAATAGGCTGTGACCATATACACACCTCTAAATCTCAGCTTCTTCATTCATAAAGCAACAGCACACAATTAGATGATCCTTAAGCCTCTTCTTGCTGTCTTAAGTTCTTTGATTCTGTTAATTTTTAACAGTGTAAGTTTGTATACATTAACTTTTTCATCTAGGCAGAGAAGAGCCATATTAATGAAGCCCTTTGGTTGTGTGTGAGGGGGAGGAGAAGAAGGAGGTAGGAGAGGGAGAAAAAGAGGGAGGGAGATAAGAGGAAGAGAGGGAGAAAGGGAGGAGAGGAAGAGGAAGAAAAGAGGAGAGGTACAGAGTAAAGAGCTACACTTTCCACTTCCTGTGGAACCAACAGCCACGTTAGCCAAACCTGAAACTCGTCATCCAGTTACCTTCTGTTACTGCGCTGTTCCGTTAGCCTGCCGTGAAATGACAGCCACAATTCTAGCCCAGAATGAGCAGCAGGGTTGTGAGTGAAGCTGGCCACTCCATGCCCTGCACTTGGCTGAGCTGTGCTGAGATGCCTGCTGAGTGTGTGCATGAAACTAGGGATGTCACTGACGTGCTTGAGCTGTGGTCTGTCCTCTAAAGGGTCAGGTACTGGAAGCTTGGTCCCCGTGTGGTGTGGTGAAACTGAGGTAATCTAACCCTGGGCATGCATATGGGCCCCACCCATACACATGCATTAATACCGCAGGGAGAGCAGGTTGTCAGCCTCACACATTTGTTTCTGCAACTCGGAACAGCCTAATAGCTACTCACCTCTCCTTTGCTTTGGGAAGATTGGATGACTTTTAATATGTTTGAATAATCAGTGTCTTATGTGTGAAGTGAAAACAGATAAATCCCTGGCTAATATTAGGATTCTTCAGGCTGAATGTTAAATTCAAAGTCCAGAAAGAATAATTGCCCAAAAGCAAAATGAAAAAATGTTTAAATGTTAATTAAAAACTGAACTAAAATGAAGATATTCTTGTTGCACTGGCTCATTAGCGGCATCTCCAAAGACAGATGAACTTCCCTTTCATGTTCATTCCGTCTCGCTACTGGCTAGGAAGGAAGATGTGCATGGTTTGGCCTCGAGGGGCAGGCCAGGAAGTGTGATGGTGACAGTTTTTGCACTAAACATTTGATCTGACTCTCTAGGATTCAGGAAGAACAATGCAGATAGGTTTATGCATTTGCAGAGAGCTAAATTTCTGCTTTGTGTTTCTCAGGCTCCCTGAAATGTGTCTGCAATCTTAAACCCAGGATATGAGAATGTCTCCTTGTATCAAGGAGGCCTGAAGGTCTGCTTCTTGGTATGCAGCTCATCATGCTATCATCAGGGTTATCTTCTGAAGCTAAAAATAAGTCTTTGCATAGGGCGGAGTCCAGACTGGGCCCGATATGTAGAAGTAGGAGAGCTTATTAGCATATTCATTAAGTTTCCTGATTAACATTCTGTTTTGAAAGTCAAACTATTATTTGAATTACAAGCCAAGCTTTGTCATTCTATCCATATTTCAAACAGAAGGGAGTACCCTCTATCACTGTGATGTCAATTAACCACACCTAGTTATTCATTATTCCTTATCATGAGGCAGTAATAACTTCAATAAATTAAGGAAGCCTCATTTTTAAAAAATGATGTGAGTTGAAACAATAATGGTTAAAGTAGTAAAATTGTGAGCTTCTCTTCAAATTTCTAAACTTCATGTATAAGCCATTTTATCCTGAAAAAAACTTTAATGTATAATTATGTTTCTAACACACAAAATTCGCAAGCAGGTTTGCTAATCTTTATTTATTTTTTTTTTTTTTTTGGTTTGCTAATCTTTAAATCCTATTTATGGGTATTAGCCTTCGTTCAGCCTTTGTAACATGTGTACATGTATACATAAAACAGCCCAAGACTGAACTTCCTCAGCAAGGAAGAAAATCTGCAAGTTCATTTAGAGCCTCTTTAGATTTCTAATGTCAATTCTATTTTGTTTTTCTCTTTTGCTTTGAGCTGCCTCTACTTGTGCCCTTACCTCTCATTAAACACTAATGCTAATAACCGACCTTTTCAGAGTATTTTCCCCAGCCAGCCTCAGCTGTTCGCTCGCGTACACCCTTTGTTTGGTTCTCTAAACAATGCAATAGATGGGTGCTGTTATTATCCTATTTTACAGAAAAGAAAATAAGGCTCCAAGAGGTCAACTGGGTTGCCCAGGGTAATTTTGACTCCGGGGATCTTGGCCTTAAATTTAATGCTGCCTTTGTAAGATGCATAAGCTCCTGATATAGCTCTGCATAGCCCACAAAGCAAATAGAACAAGACCCCACATGGTTAGCATTTTTTGAATGAATGTCTGCATTTCTACAAATCTCAGATTTCCCATCTAGAACTAGCTTAATGTTTGTAGTTTTAAATAGTAGTTTAGCAATTAAAAACACTCTCCCAAATAAAATGTACCAATAAACTTAATTGATAAAAAAGAGTGCTCTCCCTTTACCAATAACACACAGATAATAGTAGACAGATATATATATATATATATATATATTCCTCAAAATAATTCTTTTTATTGTGGTATTGTGAGTAGAACTCTAACGTCATTCTTCCCCATTCAAAACACATGTTAAACTAATTAGGAATGAATAGGGGAAGAGAAGTAAGAAGAAGAAGATAGCATTGAACTCTGAAGGCCTGAATTCTAAAAGGATAAACTTTAAATGAGCACAGCTTCATCACTTTCAGGTTTGTATACCACCCTAGTTAATCTAACAAAATACTACCGAATATTTTCCCAACTAGAATTCCTCAAGACAAGCTACCTTAACAAACTAACAAGTAAGTGCAAGTGGTACACTGTTACATGTAAGTAAGCTCTCCTGACACACTTTCTGCTCCCTTCTTCTCTCTATTTCAGTGTCTAGCAGATCTTTATTCTGAGGATGATGCAGGGAGAAACAACCTTATATGGTTTGTCACAAACTGGTCAGATCTTCACTGATAAGATTTCATTGTAATTTAGAAAAATTTTCATTTATTTGAATCACTTTTTTCTTCTAAAACCTGTAATCCATAGCAAGAAGCGTGGTTGTGTCCACCAAGCAGCAAGATGTGTGGGAAGGAGAGCCACTCACCCTTCTCTGCAAGACAGGTGGACCAGAGCGTCCTCTGTCCGTGAGCTGGTGGCACATCTCTCAGAACCATGCCACGCCCATGCTCGTAGCTGGCATGAAGCAGGATGGCACTCTGCAGCTGGGCAACTCCCCTGGGGGCCCAAGAAGTCATGACAACACAAGGCTGGACAAAGTGGACTGGGCAACCTTCCGGCTGGAGATGGCCTTCACCACAGTCGCAGAGAGTGGTGTATACCAGTGCAGAGTATCAGAGAGAACCCAGAAGCAGGCTGGAGATCAGTATTGGGCTCACAGTATTTCAGTCACTGTAAAATCTCTAAGTAAGTACCAATAAAATCCTTTTTTGAACTTGAAATTCATTTGCTGTGCAATTTGGGTGCCATCCTGAGTCCCTCAGTAATGATACGTGTATCCGAGGGCACAGAATACAATCTCTGGTACTGGGGCTGTCAGTTCTCCTTGAAACTTTTATTCCTCTCCTTTTATTCCTCTTTACAAACCCTATCTTGAGAATGCAACATGTTAATTGGCATTCAAAGTTAAAAACAAAGTCCTATCAATTGGAGTGGTCTTTTTTCTTGCTTTTTTTCTTTTTTTCTTTTTTTGATACTGAGGATTGAACTATCACACTAAACTACATCCCTAGTTCTTTATTTTATTATTTTATTTTGAGACAGGACCTCCTAATTCACAAAGTTGTCCAGGCTGGGCTTGAACTTATAACCCTCCTGCCTCGATCTGCGGGGCACTGGAATTACAAAACTATAACACCGTACCTGTGATCAGAGTAGACCCAGATAACTGTAGCTGAGCCTTGTATGTTTCGTCTTTCGACAGCTGTGGTGGAAGGAAGGAGGCAGAACCACAGGCCAAATGTGCTGCTCGGCAGTATCTCTCTAAGCAGCAGCTTGGAGAAACGCTATTTGTTGTGGCTGCTGAGAACAGTCATAGCAGTAGGTCAACTTTGGAAAACTAAGGTCAAATTCAGAACAGACTACACTGAATCAATGTCTACCAAAAAATATATTATAGTCTAAATGTATGAATTCATATTCCAACATGAAGAGTGGCACTAGGAAAATTTGGAAGTACGATGCTTTGATTTGGTAAACGTATCAGAAAATGTGTTTTACTTTTCTATCTGCAGAATCAAGTTTACAAGTTTCTCTGATGAGCCGTCAGCCAAAAGTAAAATTACTGGACACTTTCAGCCTGTCCTGCATAGTGGGGACCACCTACTCTGGCCTTGCGCTGCCACTCACCGTGACGTGGAAGTTCCAGCCAGCCGGGTCTCAAGTCTTTCATCAGATAATTCGAATTGCCCATAATGGCACCATTGAATGGGGGGATTTTCTCTCTCAGTTCACCAAGAAGACGAAGGTTTCACAGACTTCATATCATTCTCAACTCTCAATCCATGATTCCACCATGGAAGAGACAGGAATGTATCAGTGTAAAGTGGAAATTTATGACAGAAATTCCCTCCACACAAACAGTCCAGCCAGGGTTTCTGCCACCTCTTACCCACTGCAAATATCTGTCACTTTACCAGGTAAGCACCTCTTGAAATTAATCCTGGCTTTTAGAAAATCATTTTAATTTTGGGTATGGAAACAAAGTCCCCACTCCCCATGTTTGTACTGTATAAATAAAGTGCCAACCTACATTAAGTTAGCATGTCCATGCTGGATATTTAGCTTAGTAGCATAAGTGCCTGTCTGGCAAGCATGAAATCGTGAGTTCAGTACCCAGTACCAAAAAAAAAAAAAGTTAGCATGTCCAGGATAGCCATATTGGTTGTTAAAACACTTGAAATACTCTTACACTGGCTAATAACCATACTCAGTGTCCTTTTCTCATCTGTCTATAAATTCCCATCTACGAAAGGGTCTGGAATGGCACAGTAGGGGCCCCAAAGGCTGTACTCCAGGTGGAGAGCGTCTTTTAGGTAGGTCACTACCCATGTGTTGGAAGTCAATTAATGTTGGGAATGTCCTCCCTACAGGTAGGAATAATGTAGATTCTATTAGGATATACTTGTCTGCTTATTTGTAATGTGCTAATACGTAAGAGTCAGAGAGTTTATGACTGTAGTCGAATACAATCCGCCTTGTCAATTGGTAACAGAGCATGGAAGTTAGGAGTGAGACACAGCGCACGCAACGTTCTGCTGTGTTGCGCATCTTCTCTCTCTTCACTTGCATTCTCTTAAGACAGAAAATTTGAGGAACAGTGAAGTCATCTAGGTCTGAAGAGCACTGGAGGCAGCATGACAAAACCATTGTTATTGCTTCTTTAAATTACTGATGTGCCACTTAAATGTGATAACATGTAACGTATAATGGGCCAGCAGTGTCTGATACAGCAAGCTTTTGCTGTCATATTCTCTTTCCTGATGAGCAATATTTTTGGTAGTATTTGGGATATTTGAAATTGTTGCCATGCACCTTTCTTCTTGACATTTCTTTTTTTTCCCTTGGCCCCATAACAAGATTTTCTTGCTGTCTTTCCTAACTGATGGATCCTTGTTCTCTTTTATACAATTCTCTTCTTCTGCTGATTCATTCTTTAAAGACAACTGTTCCTTTGGATGCACCTCGGTTTTCTCTCTTCTCATTATATAATCTCCTAAGGTAGATTCATCCCTACCTTTTATGTTGACAACTCCCAAGTTCATTTTCCTAAAAAATCTTCTCTTCTGATCTCCAGAATCACACCAGTCACTTCTCAGACATGTCTGTACTCATTGTGTCATAAACTCACCATTATTGTCCAAAGCTACTCTTCACCCATTGGTTCCCATGTTCTACCACCTGCCAGTTACCCAAGTACAACTCCTGTGTCAACCTCATGTCCAAACCCCATCAGCATGGCATGCAGGTCCTTTATAATCTAGTACATTTGGAGATTGAATATGATTGAATAGAGAAGGAGCCACCTTGGAGCTGCTCAGAGGAAATCAACTAATAACACAGGTAATTGGAGGAAGGGAGGGACGTACATCCTGATACCAAATCAACCTGACTTGTAGATCAAGCAAGATATAGACATAGGACTTTATAAAACACCAATCCTGCCACAGGGCCATCAGTGGCACTGCCACCTGTGTGCTACCGTACTGGAAAGTCTCCAAGAAACTGATGGACTGCAAAAATGTGGCTAACTCAAGTCAAACAGGATAGATTTGGAATATTAAGCCCCTTGCTTCTTTTTCCTTCTTTCATACAGAAGACATAACAGGAGCATTGCAGCAAATTTCACTGGCCTTGCTCCCTCCCCAACAGGCACCAGGCACCAGCTTTTTTTTTTTTTTTTTCCCTTTCCCTTGTACCCTAGCAGCTCACTGGAATCCCTTGCAACAAGGGTACAAACTTCAGTGGAGGTGGTATAAGATCCTTTCTCCCCTTTGGCCAGTGGTTTGAGAGAAGGATGCAGGCAGGCATGGTACAACACCCACCTACCCCACCTAGATTAAATCAAAACCAAGCAGATTTGAGCTGTCTGACTTTGGCAAAAATGAGTCAGTAAAGTTAGGGCCCACACTGCTGGTGGTAAGAGCAGTGAGTCAGCCCACAACACCTCCTTGCTCTGCAACAAGCAGCACAAGTGGAGCAGAGGAGGCTGTGCAAGAACTGGGAGGAGCCACCTGTACATGGGGCTGAGAGCAGCCTTGGTCTATCTCTTTCTGAGAATGCCATTGCAACTGGGAGAGCAGTGCAGAGTTAAACAGGGTAAGGAGTGATCAGGCTGCCAAGGGACATATAGAAAGTTACCAAAGACTCTATCCCCAGCTGCCATATCCAGAGACCAAGATGAGCCCAGAACCCAGCACTAACTCTATTGTAGATCTGGCTGGGTTACCCAGCAGTCTGGGAATCTGACTTGGACACTACCACACTACCTGTGGACACCAGAGGAATTTTATCATTATAATTATTATTTTATTTCATTTTCCTTTTTCTGTCTGGCAAGTTTTGCTTTTTTACATTGCTTAGGTCTTTACATTTACTTTTATTTTGTTCTAATCATATTCCTTCTCTCTTTCCTCAACTATCTCTCCTGATTTTATGATGTTTTCATGTACATGAACATTGCCTTTATGTTTGCTTTGATAATCTTTTGTTTTCTCCTTCATTCTCTCTTCTACTTCCTTCTCCAGTTTTGCAAAGTGTGCACAATCATCCTTTTTCCTTCAGCCTTGCTTTACTATATTTCTCTTCATTTATCTCTCTGTTTTACCCCCTATCCTTCTTAAATTTCCCCCACCATCGTGTAAATCACTGTACTAAGGGGAAATCCTACATACAAGTTCCTAAATTATGTTGGATTTATGTAACTATAGATCTTGCTCTTATGGTTAAAAGTGCCAAATTAATAATTAGTACAGTTTGTTAGGTTCTAGGATGTGCTTGATGCTATTGTTATTGCTAACCATACAACTTTGGCCAGGACACCATATCTATTGTAGTCAGTCATTCTCCCTTATATGACAACACTGTGATTGTCTGGGTTTGTAACCATCACTGTAGCCAAAGAACCAGATGGTTAGTCAAATAGATGGCAACAGCTCATCTTCTATAAATTGGGAATGTGGGATCTTGGGACAGACAAAAAGGCCAAGAACAACTTATACTTAGAAGACATCTCTGAAAAACAGGCATTTCCTAGGAAAGCCTTGATAAAGCTTCTACAATAAGAAACATAAGCATCAACACAGAAAATTCAATAAAATTTTTTTAAAAATAGAAAATGATCAGACTTCCAGCCCACCAAGGTCAAATCCAGGGGGCTATGAGATAGAGAAAATAAAAAACCAAACACCTGAATGTTCTGGAATAATAGTAATGGAAATAAAGCAAACAGACTCACAAAAGTATCAGGCTGTAAAGGAAATCAGTCAAGAAGTAATCTCTCAGGTAAAAAAAGAGATGACAACCATAATGAAGAACTTGCTCAACAAATTTAGAGTAAATATAGATAAAAACATTGAGGAGCATTGAAAAATGGTGGCAACCATGAATGCCCAACATAGGAAAGAAATGGAATCCAGAAAACAGATTCAAACAAATATCCAAGAAATTAAAAATTCCATTGGAAATTTGGAAAACCAATTGAACAAAAATGAAGACAGAATATCAGAACTGGAAGACAAGATTGTGATTAGTGATGATGAAAAAAAAGATCTCTTAAAACCAGCAAATGACCAGGAAAAAACAGTCCAACAGCTGCAAGATGATGCAAAGAAGAACATAAAATTGATCAGTCAATGAAAAAGATCAGGTGTCAGCACAAATGATGTAAAAATCTGTTCACAGAAGTAATGGCAGAAAACTTAAACCAAACATGAAAAAGAATTTGACATACAGATAAGTGAGGCATACAGAATTTCAATCAATCATGATGAAAATAAATCACACTAAGGTGTATAATAATCAAGATTCCAGAAATTTAGTACAAGAACAGAATATTAAAACCTATTACAGAGAGAAGAAACAAATCACTATAAAAGAAAGCCCATCAGAGTTACAGCACACTTCTTAACACAAATCCTTAAATCTAGGAGAGGATGGAGCAAAGCATTTCAAGTCCTGAAAGAAAATCACTTCCAACACAGAATGATGTATCCTGCAAAGCTATGTTTCAAATTTCATGGAGAAATCAGATACTTCTATGACAAAAAAACTGAAGAAATTTATGACCACCAATCCAACTCTACAAAGAATTCTGAGAAATATTCTGGAATGAGATGGCAAAGAGCACAATTCTAAGAACTCCAATAGAAAACAACAATCAAGAAAGGCAAGCAAATAAACAGAAAAGACAGAGAACCAACAGCATGAAAATAACTAAAATAATACATATCAGTTATAACCGTCAGTGTAAATGGTCTCAGTTCACCAAACAAAAGAAGCAGAGTAGAAGAATGAGTCAAGAAACAAGATTGAACAATATGCTGCATACAAGAAACACATTTAACTCAGAAAGAAATTTGTAGGCTGAAAGTCAAAGGATGGTAAACAACACTCCATGTGGCAAGAACCTGTGAAAAAGCAGGAATAACTATTCTATTTGCAAACAATGTGAACTTTAAGCCAAAACTTATTAAAAGACACAAATAAGGTTACTATCTACTTCTTAGGGGAAAACTCCAAGAAGATACAATAATCATGAATATATATGCACCAAATACAGCTGCATCCAACTAGATAAAACAAATATTAATGGACATGAAAATCAAATAGGCACTAACACAATTATAATGGGGGACCTTAATGCATTGTCAAAAATAGATCAACCTGACAAAGAATCAACAAAGAAATAGCAAAACTCAACAAAATCTGTGAACAAATGGATCTAGTAGATAGATACAGTGTCCCACCACACAAAAGTCAAAATGCACATTTTTCTCAGCTGCACATGGGATGTTCTCCAAAATAGATCACATGCTAGCCCATAGAACATGCATATGTAAATGTAAAGAAATTTAAATTTTCCCATGCATAGTATCTGACTAGTGCAATAAAATTGAAAATCAATGGCAAAAGAAACCAC